TCTCCTCTCCTCTCCTCTCCTCTCCTCTCCTCTCCTCTCCTCTCCTCTCCTCTCCTCTCCTCTCCCTTTCTTTCAGGTGGGAGAGGCTGTTATTGGTTTGTTATTGTTGCTGTTTGTTTGTTTTCTTTTGTCTGATCATATTAAAATCTTTTACCAGATTTTTTTGTAGAATCAAAGGATGGCTTTGTTTGGAAGGGACATCAAGGATCATCAAGTTCCAGCCCACTGCTGCAGGCAGGGTTGCCAGCCACTAGATAAAGTTGTGCAGGGTCACATCCAAACTGGCCTTGAACACTTCCAGGGACAGAGCATCCACAACTTCTGTGGACAACCTGTTCCAGCACCTCCCCTTTCTCAGTGTCAAAGTCCTGCTATCCTGAGTACTTTGTTTGGGAAGTCTCTGGTGGTTGTGAGTTTGATACTTCTGTCACTTGCTCAAACATAATTGGAGAGGACTTCCTGGAGGTTGATCTCTGATGAGAACTTGACCCCATGCACACCATATGTAAATCTTGGAAGGAAACCTCACCCCTTCAGGGAGAAAGTCTTCTTTCTATTCCATCTGAATTAAAGTCACAGCACTGTTATCCTGAACTGTCTTCATGGCCATCACAATAAGGAGAAAAATATAGCTATCATTATGGGAGCTTTACACTGCATAGTTTATCTCTATAACAGTGCACTATGATGTGCCTAATTAGACTGTATCAGCTGCTCCACGTCTGCTACTAAAGGGAGACGTTCTTATTGTGTCTAGTCAACAGAGAGCACTCAGCCTGTGATTTAGCACTGAAATTAAATTTAAGCATAGTTTCCCATTTGATTATCAAGCTATGGGTGACTTTTAAGGATCCTTTTCAATCTATTACCTCCACTAGCTGTAAACTGTCTCTACCACATTTTCTTTCCCTTTCATGGCAAATGCAGACTGAAAACTCATCCATTTAAAGTTAAAGGGGAATGAATCCAAATAATTCTAATTAGAGGATGGAAACTTTTGCTGTTTATTCAGTCTCCTTCCTTGACTGTCAGTTTCTCTTTCTGAGAATATCAATTATTGAGACATAATAAATGTGATTGGCTTGAATATTCTGAAAGGAACAAGACCTTCAAAAAGTAATATGGAGTAAGAAGAAGGGGAAAAACTATTTTGTCCAATGTTAAATTGAAAAATTAAAAAGTTTGTGGTTTCATTTTGAGAAGAGTAGGCTGACTGCCACAAAGTAATCTTTAAGAAATTTTTTACATTCTCCCTATTCCCTTGTGCATACTAATTTATTAAAATCGCTGAAAAGAAGACAAGTTCATTGTTCTTCGGTAACATAATGTTATCCAAGAAATTTGTATAAAACTGTGTCTGTTTTATGGGCAAAATATTATAGCAGGGGTCAGAATTGAAAGGAGTCCATAGTCTACTGTTACGTCACATATTCCATATTTTTCGTATGCATGGGAAGAAGACAAGTGGGTAAAAATGTGGTTTCCTTGACAGTCCATGTGTATTGTGTTCCTCTTGGAAGATGCCTACAGTTTGGACATGCTGCCTAAACCTTGAAAGATTTCTTAACTGCACATCAGAGAGATGATACAGTTACAGGTATTGTGTTGTAATTTCAAAGAAAACATTCTCTGCATAACAAACACTTCTTCTGCTGCAGGAACTGGCAGGTTTTCAGAATACTGCAGTAAGAAGGAATAATCTGATCACAGCAGATACATGCACAACTGATAGAAAATACTGTAAAATTCACCAGTTGTATGAGAAGAGGAGAATAGATGTGGAGGGAGAAGGTGTGGTAGGGTTTTTACTCTGCCGTTCTCTGATAGGGATTTATCGTTTGCAGTTAAGACAGCTTCCTGGAAGAAGCAAACATATGTGATACATTAGAATATCTCTGAAGTTCTGCTGATCTGTAAAGCAGTGATCTTTTTGCTTGTTTGAGCTTTGCTATGATTGTCTTCCATACATGCACAGAAAGACAATGAACCCTTGCAGCAGCATCTGCAGGGAGGTGACTTTCTGGTGTTAATACAAACTGGGACACTGCTTCAGGATTCAAGTCAGGCTAAAGAATAGTCATACTTCTCTGCAGTAGGAAGTCCATAGTCCTTTTATACCCCTTACCTTAAGTACTTGCTACAGAGAAATGCATGAGACCTTCAGCATGGTATAATTGTAAGGTAAGGTAAACTTGTTCCCAGAGCTGACACTGGAGCTGGAGTAGGATCTCATGACTCACCTTGTTGTAATTTGTGTGTTCTGAGGATCCCAGATCCTGCACATGTCTTTGTATCTGATACTTAGTATGTAGTCAAACAGAAATAAACATTTATATCTTTTCTGTTACTTGCTTTTTGCAAGGGCCAAGTGGAATTGTTGACTGCTTAATTTCTAGACTCTTCACTATTGACTTACTAAAGAGAGATTTAATTATTAATTTACTGAAATGGGTGATGATAGGAAAGTGGTTTATTTCACATATCATTTTAAACAAATCTTTTCTGAAGCACTACTTTTATTGAGGTGGTTTCTTTGCTGTTATTGCTTACAGGCTGTGCCTTCCTAACATACTGCGAAAGGGAGTCTGCTCTAAAGGCCCAGAGTGCATTGCATGAACAGAAGACACTGCCAGGGGTGAGTTCATATTGACTTTTTTTCTAATAGTTTTTTTTTTTTTTTTTTTTTTTTAATTTTTCTAAAAATCTAGAATTGATTACATATGGAATTCCCATCTTGAGTTTGGAAGCATAATGTCTCTGGTTGCTTGAATGTTTCACTATTTGCACTGTGCTAATAAAATCAAGATATCACCAACCCACTCAAATCATATCCATGCAAAAAGAAAAGACTTTTCCTGGCAAAAGGATAAGAGCAAAGCAATAATAAACTTGTTGTGGATTAGATTCTACCAGATTTACTCAGATGAGGAAAGGCTTGAAGCTTATGACTGTTATAGTGAAGTATTAGAGCTGCTCACAAGGTGTTAACTCTTACTGTTTTCCTTCTCTGAAGCAAGGTGTGGTACTGAAAAATCAAGAGACAGATAACATTATTGAGTTATCACAGAAAGAAAACATATTCTTGATGACAAAGTGGTTCGACTCAGTTGCTTTAGTATTCAAACAGCTGTAGCAGATTGGAAAGGCGGTGAGACAAGAGAAAGAGAGAGAGGAGATGAGCACAAGATAATGAGGAAAATTATTCACATGAGCAAGATCTAAGGTTCAGACAACACAACCAGAACTAAAAATAGAATCACTATTACGTGGGGAAGACCTGCTCTGCTGGGAAGGGTTTCCAGTTTAGCAGAAACCAAGAGAAGGGAGAGAGATTATTTAAATTCAGATGTGGTATACAAATTGGAAACAGCTGAGTAAAGGATTCCTGTACACTACTGCAAACCAGAACAAGTCTGATTTGATCCTAAAGTCAGTGATCAAGTAGTTAACACTGAAATCTTGAAGGTCTCAGTTTTTGCCAAAATCAAGGGGAAATTGATCCAAAGTTTTATTACTTTATATATTGCAAATGAGTCCTGTGTACCTGTAACCTACCTCTTCAAAAAACCTAAGATAAACCAGTTGCTCTGTTTCTGAAGAAAGTGTTGATTCTGCTCTGCTAGTTTCCATCATCCTGAGTCAATTTACCTATTTCTTTACCACCTTGCCATTGCAGAGATGCCCACACACTTGCTCATCTAAGTCTATCTTTGCTTTAAAGGCCATACCTTATGTAAATACATACACACTTCATTCCCTAAAAATACATTTCTGTCAGCTGACAACTCCCTCAGAAATATTTCTTCTAGAAACCCGTTAACCACAGAATGAAAGTTAACATTGGGTGCTAATGTTTAGATTTATTCTTATTTTTAATGTTGATGTGTTGATATTAATATTTATCCTTTTTTTTTTCGTTTTCTTTTTTTTTTTTGCTTCTTATATTTAATGTTTTATCATTCAAGAATTAAGATCTGTAAGTACATAAAATTAAAAATAAATATGTTGAATTGGGATGTTTAAGGTATTTTACCTGGAATTTTCTAAAATAAGCTTGAAATGTTTATTAAAACTAGAGGTAACTTTGTTACAAATAGACTTCTTTACATGTGTGTATTTCTGAATCCTGGCTTGCATTTTAGGGATTCCAAATCACAAAACTCTTATAATAAAAATTATGTCTTTGGACAGTGACAAAATTCCACCAGTTGAACTGGCATAAAGATGTATTTCACAGATAATATTGTTTGATTCTACAATACAGATAAAACATTTGTTCGTTGGTTTATGTCACTTCTATCCCATGCATACTGACCACGCTGATTTCAGAACGCTTTTTTTGATTTGTTTTTATACTTTGAAATGACACATCTGTATCTGATTAAACTGAGAACAATGAACCTTCTGCAACTGCAACCTGGATTTTGACAGTTCTGAGCACTGACTTCTTCTGTCCCTTTCACTTCTTGTTCTGCTTGTCTGAGGATAAACACTGTTTTTTCACCAGCAAACCCTCTGCATACAGTCTTCTGCCAAGTTTCTGAACTCATCCTCTGAATGATGTCACTGTAGTTTATTTAAAGAAACCAGCCTTCTCTCTTGGTAAACTATTATGCCTGGATACTGTTTAATGATTCCTATGTGAGTAGCTAAGAATTATTTATGACTTACCTGACTGTGCTGGATTATATGCATCAACAATATCAAGAATAGTTCATCATCATAAAATAAAAAACATTCATAAAGGTCAAGGGTCTAAGTCTTCGTTCACATGAGTTCAAAAATGACACATATATAACCCCTTCTCTTGACCCTCAAGTGTCTTTGACACAGACAGCACTACTCAGAAAGTATCAAAAATAATTAACAAGCCTGGGGTGGGAGGGGGAAATAGTACTGCTGTCAGCCGTTAAATCAGAAGGCTTCTTTCACCTCCATCAGTAAACTCTATATTTGTCTTCTCCTACAATATTGCTGTTCGTGTTCCTTGTATTCTAAAACAGAGAATTGAGTCATTTTTAATAATATGCACATGAATGCTAATATATGGAAATGGTGAGGCATTAGGAATTTGTGTCCAGATTCAGACGCCTTGCCTCTTAGCTATGTGTCACTGTGTTTTTAGTGGAGTGGCTACATGCACATATTTTACAGTAATTACTTTCTGGATGTGCTTTGTAAGATGACAGAAATATGTTTCACATATTTTTATGTTATATGTGGGACATAAAGTCATCTTGTGGAATAATCAAAAGACTTCCAGGCAGGTATGTGTTTATTAATAAAGTCTTTATGGCACTTTGTTTTTGGGCAAGAAGGAATCATGAAGTAACTAGAGTGGAATGTAAAACATAAAATTATTAGTCGAATCCTCTTCCTCTAAATGAATTAGTCTCTTTTGGACAGTTTGAAATTATCACCTAAAATAGAAGGTTAATGTAGGAGGGTGTGTGTGTATGTTTAAAGAGCACTTTTGTGAGCATCGGACATCTCAAATTAAAGTGTTTACTTGTGATTGTTTATTTTACATATAATAGAGTAGCTGGATGATGAAGTATATTAGTTCTTTAATAATTTATAGAAATGCTTTGATGTTGCAGTAATTACATTAAAGGTCACATATCAAAGGTAATTTGGTTGAGCAGCTGTGATGGTTTCTCAGAAGCAATCAATATTGCTGTCCGTGGTGCTGATTTCACCAAGGGAACTGCCAGATTAAAGGAGGCTTATTACCAGCCAGACTGGCACGAGGGAAATCAAGAACAGATTGGAGAGATGCACAATTCTCTTTCCCCACCTATAATTAACACTGTTCGCCATAATCTGTGCTAATCCTTCATAGTGGGAAACCACATTTATTTCCAACATCATAAAAAGCAAATTAGGCAAGGAAGAGTAATTTGGTAGAGAGGAAAGGAGAAAGGGAAAGTAAAAGTTGATTCACTCATGGGATTTCTGATGCTGATATATCTCTCAGTGATAAAATTCATCATTAGAAACACAGTCCTTGGTTTTGGGGAAAGCACGGGTTGGAGGTGGGGGAGTGATCTAAACAATGACAGTGAAAGGATGTGAGAATTATCTGCCAGCAAATTTTGTATAATAATGTCTATTTGCCCCACGAATCTCCACAGGAAATGAAATCAGGGAAATAAAATTATGTTTTAAGTGTAGTCATTTTGATTACAAATTATCATGAAGGCAACTTTTTCTCTTTTTTTTTTTTTTTTCTTTTTCTTTTTGAAGCGAATGGCAGAGGATAATGCTGAGAAATGTAATTACACTATCAAGATCTACTTTTATTTATAGCATAAATAAACTGAGCTCATATTTGATAAGCACAGCAGCACTGCTTCATTGTGGCTCTCAGGCACTGCCAGTGAAAAGTCCATGTATACTTGGTTGGAAGCACTGCCTGTTTGCATAATGTTAAAACCTCCATGTAATACTTGCAGAAAATAACTATGAAATTAAGTAGCTAAGAAAATGTTAACCTCAGCAATTCATAGGGCTTACTCAGGTTACGAAACAGACCTGGTATTCATAGTGTAGCTATTCCTCCTGAAAGGTACTACCTAAGAATTTAATAAATGTCTCAGTCCATAATGTTAGTTTTCTTATGAATGGTACTGATATTCTATCTTTTCCAACATCTCAATAAAAATGCATTCTGTCTTATTCATCATCACTTCTCTTAAGCAAATAAATAAATATACATCTTTAAGTTAGATGACGATGACAGGTGGGCACATAAGACAGAAAGCCTGAAATATAAGTTGTATTCAGGTCCCAAACAATTTTGCTCCATCTCTTCAGTCTTAGCTGGTTTAAATTCTTATGTGTATGTGAGGAGAGACCGCTGAGAACCAGGGGTGGAGGGAGGAGATCTTGCAAATCTAGTTTCTCTTAAATCTCTGTAATGAGGCTTAAATGAGACATGAGTGTCATGTGGACTACACAAGTCTTGCACATTTAGCATTAATTTCACTGGTCAAGCAGAACTTTCCATAATTTTAGTCTATACTTCTAAGGTTTCAAGGCTTTTTTTTTTTTTTTTTTTTTTTTTTTCCCCAAAAGCTTATTGGAAAACCATTAAGCCACATATTACTCTGCATCTGTTTTATGCCAGAAATTGGTATTATATTCCTGCATCTTCCCATTTCAAAAGTTTTATCTACCAATGTAAATTGCAATTTGGTCAGCAGTGGCAGGCTGGATGGGTTCCATTGATTAAAGTAGCCTGCTGAACACACAGCCTGCTCACCATGCCCTTTAGATTTTGAAAGAAAACACATTTAATTGTTCCCCTGGGAGAAACATGTCTGTTTTCTGAAGTTAAAAATGAAGATGAAAAGGAATAAAAACAGATTTGAGGTAAGAATCTTGTGAAAAACAGTTCTGTAGAAATTCTCTAGTACTCTAAAATTTGTGGGTGTCAATGTCATGGTTAAAAGGACTTCTTTTTTTCTTTCTTTTTTTTTTTTTTTTTTCTCTTGTTTCCTCCTTCTGACTGACCAGACAGTAAAAGGATTTTTGGATTTTGCTTTGGAAAGAGGAGGGAACGAGAGAGAGAGGAAACCATATGCACTTTCCATTTACTAAAAACTCCTATAGTTTGACAGTGCTGTTCTGTTC